TGGGCTGGCTCTTATTATTAGGCAGCAGATCTGAAAAAGGACAGCTAATTATTTGTTATTTATTCTACAATTACTGGCAAGGATGACAAAAGATGCTTGTGGCATATTCCACCAGGAATGCTTGCTTGGAGTAGTATTCACCCCTGACCCCCACATGGAGGACAGTGCAGCATGTCATTTTTCTGCTCTTCCTTAGGTAGAAAAATGTTTAGGGGCCAGCCCTACTGGTATACACAACAAGATGAGCTTCCATCTTTCAGGCTCAGTTCTGGACACCCTAAATAAGCAAGGAAGTACATCTTCCACCCTCTGTGTTCCAACTGTCCAAACTTATACACATTGATAAATAGTGGAAGGTAGTTTGAAACTGGCTCCACATTTTACTAGTGAAAATCAGCCTAGTTCATAGATGATCTAGTTCAAGTCAATGCAAAGGATGTCCCTGGACATGAAATTGTATCTGTTTTATCCTTCCTACTTATTGAAACTCCAATCTGTACAAGAGTGGAGTTAGCTACAGCCTATGCTGTTTCTTTTGCACTTTCTACTTCATTCACCATGATCTTGTATAATCAGCTAAATGCAGAAATGATGGCATGCATTTTCTAACTGTGCTGAATTACTACACTCAAAGCCAATTCCAAAAGGTTACAACTGAGCATGGATGCATTATCCCTTTGGCAAGCTTAAATGTCAGGCAAAACTGCCCTGAAAACAAAGCACTATAAAGGTTGAGTGAATAAGAAAAGTAATAATAACAGCAGCAATAGTTCTTAGAATTTGCACATGTGTTGTTGTTATACACCATCAAGTTGATTTTAATTTATGGTAACCCTATGGACTGGTGGCATAGGGCTGTCCCTAGGGACATGGTGGCACTGCGGGTTAAACCGCAGAAGCCTCTGTGCTGCAAGGTCAGAAGACCAGCAGTTCTAAGATCAAATCAACGTGACGGAATGAGCTCCCATCGCTTGTCCCAGCTCCTGCCAACCTAGCAGTTCGAAAGCATGCAAACGTGAGTAGATCAATAGGAACCACCACGGTGGGAAGGTCACAGTGTTCCGTGTCTAGTAGCGCTGGCCACGTGACCACGGAAACTGTCTTTGGACAAAAGGTTGCTCTACAGCTTGGAAATGGGGATGAGCACCACCCCCTAGAGTTGGACACGACTGGACTAAATGTCAAGGGGAACCTTTATCTTTACCTATGAACTGGTGACCTCAAATGGCTTTATTATTCATAGCCCACCTTAGGTCTTGAATCTTCAACACCATGGTATCTTTTATTGAGTCAATCCATTTCTTCTTTAGTCTTCTGCTTTTCCTGCTGCCATTTACTTTTTTAGCATTTTGTCTTTTCCAATCATTATGTGCTTAAAGTACAATAGTCTCAGTTTAGTCAGTTCTTTCTAGTGAGAGTTCAGACTTGATTTGATCTAGAACCCATTGACTTGTTTTTCTGGAGGTCAATAACACTCTCCTCTAACATCATATTTTGAATAAATAGATTTTCCCCCTGTCAACTCTCTTCACTATCTTTCATTTTTTCACATCTGAGCATGAGAACAACATAGTATGCATGATCCCGATCTCAGGGCACAAATCAAGCAGAAAGAAAGCATCACACCACAAAGAATTACTTTGTTGGGAGCAATCTCTCTTAAAGTGTCCCTTCCATCTGTCAGGAAATTGCTCCAGTCTAACTCCCAAATAGAGTAGTTCTGCCACTGGACCAAAAATACCCAGTTTGGGCATGGATCAAAGTCAGGCTCAAGTGCTGTTACCTGTATGTTGTGTAGTTACCAGGAATTGCTTGAACTGGATTGTGTCACAAGAGGCCCAAAATGTGAGCTACCTTCTCTGTCTGATCACATCCTTAGTCACCAGCAACACAACAGTTTACTTAAGGATCTTATATAGCTCCTTTATATCTGCCCTCCTGAGTCTCAGATTTCTGATTTTTTGGCTGCAGCTTACATTTAAATTGGTGAATGAACCAAGGGAAAGAATATTCTTAATAATTTCAATTTCTTCATTGTCACATTTAGTTGTTGAATTCTTCCGTAGTTATTATTTTTGTCTGAATATTCAATTGCAATCCTTATTTCAATTTCTTCATTGTCAGCTTTAGTTGTTGAATTCTTCCGTAGTTATCATTTTTGTCTGAATATTCAATTGCAATCCTGCTTTTGTACTTTCTTCCTTTGCCTTCATCAGGAATCATTTGAAGTCATTGCTCTTTTCTGCCAGTAATATGGTGTCATCTGCATATCTTACATTATTTATATTTCATCCACCAATTTGCTTTCCACGTTTGTAAGAATATAATCAGGAATTTTGTGTGGTATATTCTGCATATACTGTAGATTGAATAGATAAGGAGACAAACGGACCCCTCGCCTAACATCTTTACCGGTGGGAAACTATTCTATTTCTCCATATTCTGTTCTAACAATAGCTCTTTGTCCAGAGTACAGATTACACATCAGGACAATCAAATATGGTGGCATACTAATTTCTTTAAGAATAATCCATAGCTTTCATGAGCCCCACACTCAAAGGCTTTCAAGTAACCTACAAAGCATAAACTGGTTTTCTTCTGAAATTCTTTGGTATGTTCCAGTAGCCAACAAATGTTTGCGATAAACTTTGAATTTATCTAGTGCTATAGAATATTTTTTTTAATTCAGATATCGTAGCAGTTCTTAAAATGATCTTGTAACATTCATCAGTATCTTCCTTCCCCTATAATAGGAGAACTGAGTGTGAAAACGAGTTGCATGAGGTTGTCCCCTAACTTCATGCCATTCATCTCATTAGAAGCAGGGAGTTTACTTTTTAGATATTACTCTATGTCTACTTGGATTTATTGCTTCCTCTGAGTAGCAAACAGACAATGTTAGAGGGCCTAACAGTTCAGATAGATAAGCAAAAAGACCATGTTATTAATTTGCATCGACGGCAAAGGTAAGGAATGTAATACAAAACAGTCCATTCAGAGACACCTTGGGAGAAAAGAAATCAGATCGTTCCCACAGTATAGCCATGGCACTGAGTAAATTAACCAATTTCCCCACCTGTTCCAACCAAAAAGTGGGCAGGGGAGGGAGAGTCTACAGGACAAAGCCAGGTATCAAATTCAGCAATACCCCACCCACAGCTTAGGTTCAAGTGCAAGGCCATCCTTTTTTCAAAAGTATGCCCTTGTGCTGGAATTGCTTGTGTAACCAGTATCCACAAAGACTGATCACATGAAATGTAAAAAACCATGGCCCCATACGTGTGCCCTGAAGTAAAGAAAATTGTGTTATTTGTTTAAAGAAGCCCCAATTGGATCCAAGAGGACAGACGCTGTACCTGCAACCAGCTACTATACTCCTCATATTAATAAAAGTAAAAACATGGCTTTCACCATGCTAGACTCTTTCCCTGAGTGGCTGGCTCCCTGAATGCGTTTTTTGAATAGATTGTTGCACCTACTGCTCTGAATGTATTTTGGTATTACTTCTGTTTACAATTTTTTACAATTTTTTTTTTTTGTAAGCTGCCTTGGAGAAAGGTGGGGCAAAAATAATTTAAATAATAAATAATAATAATTGGTTGTAGGAATGTCATTTGGGGAAGCTGCAAGAGGCAGAAATAGGCACCCTACCTATGTACACTTAAACAATTTTAATAGATTGTTGCACCTACTGCTCTGAGTGTATTTTGGTATTGCTTCTGTTTACAGTTGTTCACAATGTATGTTTTTTTTTTTTTTTTTTTTTTTTTTTTTTTTGTAATAATAAATAATAATAATTGGTTGTAGGAATGTCATTTGGGGAAGCTGGAAGAGGCAGAAATAGGCACCCTACCTATGTACACTTAAACATTAAAATATTTCTCGGCAATACTTGTATTTCTGGGCAATTTTTAACATTAGCACTGATTGGTCTTATAAGACCTAAATCCACAATGCTAGCTCACTAAAACAGTAAGCTAGCACAGATAAGCCATATTCAAAAAATGCAAACATTTCATGTTTCAAAACTATTTTCATGTTCCTTCTTTCAGTCTTTCAGCATTTGATTTGCAAGCGAAATAGCTTCTCATTAGCTTTCTTTCCAGGGTTAAGTACAGCTTAGTTTTCACAGAGGAGGCAAACATGTGCCTAGTCTGTAAATTGTCACAGAGGTGGAATATGTCCATAAAGGACATTATTTTCTTTTCTTTTCTATTTAGATAGAACTTCTTTTATGGAGGAGTATCTCATCATGTGAGTTTTCAAAACTAAAACATTGATTGTTTTTTTACTACTTCTCCCAGAACTGGCCCTGAATCTTTATTGAGAACTATTTCAGATGAAGACTGCAAAATCTTGGATAATTCTAGTGTATGGAAAGTACATCACAAGTCTTACATGAGAAACAAAACACCCATGTTAGCTCAAACCCAATGCTTCTCATTGTGAGTTTACATATCCAGCTACCTGTTCAGTGGAATCAGGGAACAAAAAACAACACACACCATGTGAACCAGCCATGGATTTTTTCGGAGGCAGTGTATGAGTTTTTGGTTTATGCTGTTTTCCTTCCTCTCAAGGGATTTGTTGCCTTGCACAAGACAAGTCGAGTTGGACATGACTGGACTAAAAATGTCAAGGGGAACCTTTACCTTTATCCTTACACAAATATGATCTAGTATGTGTATGCCACCCGCAATGCAAAGTAACAGTGATTCTTTTCACTTGGAAAGTACTATTTTTCTGAATCTTCAATGCCAAAATGATTTCTTACTATGACTGCTACCTCTTCAAAGATAGGAGGAATTTTTTTGCATTTAACAGCTGCAAGATGTGTTCCTCAGGAAAAGCTATGTTAAACCAGATCAATAGACAGACAGATGGACAGATAAATGGGTGTCTAGAGAAAGACAGAGAAACATTTACAAAACATCAAACCAAATCCTCAGCACTAGCCGCCCAAAATAACACAGGGAAAATAAGAAAAAGCAAAGCCTTACCTTGTAAATACAGGATTTTGCATTCAAGAAAAATAACTCAATGGTGGCATTATCCTTTAGGTAGGAAATGCTTTCAATGTAGAACCTGGAAAGGAAACATGGGAGTCATATAAATGCTGGAAAGAAATTGCAGCCACCAAATAAATACATAATATCCCACTCCGTTTTTTATTATATATATAAAAAAGTGTGCTTAGTGGAGCCTTCAGGGCTGAGAGAGAGGAATTCTTTTTGTTTCTTGTTTTAGTGATTGTGTTATGACTCTTGGAAAGATTTGTGTGTCCCTTAAGACATGATCATTCAGCACTGCTCTATGTGTAACTCCTGGCCAATAGGAAAAGCATTAATGTTTGTTTTATTTCACAGATTGATTTATAATGCCATTAATATTTTAGTCTGGGATGGGTTTCTTTTTCCCATTCCCTGTCCTTGACAACTGTGTTGTTTTGCTTCTTACGAAACGGCTGCATCCTAGCCTGGGAGTAATTGCTTTAGAAATGGTTTTCGGAAATAGGATGAAAGGGAGAACGGCCCCTGAATATAGATTTGAAATGAAAATAACTTAAGATGCTTTTACTAGGGTGCCGAATTGGTGACTTCTATAAAACTGTAGTAATACTGCACAGCCCGTTCCAATGGACCAGCTCTCGCGGCTCAGAGAGAAAAAGGGTGTACTTTTTTGGTTCAGCAGCAGTGATACTCTTTTTTTTGGGGGGGGGAAGCTGGGCAGGTTCATGTGTGCATGGAAAGATCACTTTAAATGAGATTGCACACAGCAAAGTGACCCTTTCCAACATGATACTGCTTCCCTGTTTAGTCACACCCACCAATAATATGGGATAGGGGTCATAAGATAGAGCAGTGATAGAGTTGTGTCTGTTGTTAAAAATCTCATTTCCCATCTGAAATAGCTAGGGAGTTTTAGCCAAGCTAGTATCTTTCTGCTGCTCAGCTGAGTTGTGGAATGAATGAATCAAGTGGAGATGAGGCAGTTTCTGAGTGCATATATGCGCAGGTGTGAGTACCTGGTTTTGCTCTTTGCTCCACCTCACACTGGCTGCTGTGCCCAACCAACTACAAGGGGCAACAGACAGTACTGCTCCAGCCTCTTAACCAGTAGAACACAAAAGAGCGACCTTAAGATATCCCTCCTTGGTTTCACCACCAACCCATTTAGTCCCCTGTCTCCCATGCTAGGACAAACAGAATTTTTCTTTTGCTGTCCCACAGCAAGCAGGGAAATGGAAGATAGGTGATGGCACCAAGGAAAGATGCAGGACAGAGAAAGTACAGGAGGGAAAAGCCATAACCTCCTTCATGGCTACAAAACAAACTGGAAAATTCTCCTGAGAGGCTGTCAACATTAATATGTAAGTTTTCAAATATGAAATCAGAATGTCATGGCCGTAAAAGCTATGAATCAGACTTCCTAGGCTCTGAGACTTCTGCTTCAAACCTCTCATAAAGCAATCTGTACCTATATTGGAAGCATTTGATTTTTGGACTAAACTCTTAGAATCTTAGAGCTAGCCTGGTCGCTGGGATTCTGGGTGTGACAGTGCAAAAAACAAACATTTCCTATCTCTGTCTGTAGCTGACTTTAAAAAAAGGTAGCTGTTCGTTTTACAGAAATGTAAGCATAAAACTTTGCGAAGTCCTTATTTCAAGTTCTGCCTCAGTCACAATCTTATCAGGCAGCTTTGGCCCACCTTTTGTTGCTCTCACATTTCAAGAGGTGGAAAAATAACATGCTGTACCCGTCTACCACAATGTAGCCAAGGCAATACTGGTGACTGTGCCCAAAATGTGCCATTGGGCCTCAAACAGGGGTAAAAAAATAAAGTACAGTATCTATATCTGTGAATTCCTAATCTTGACTGGAATATGTCACAAGCATTCCCTGCAATGTTAATTGCAGGATAAGAGTGACAGAAATGGAAGAAAAGTGTTCATGTCCCCAAAGAGTTTTGTTTGTTGCCTATTGACTTAACTCAGTGGAACAAAGAAAAAGCTTTTCTTGAACACTAGGGGGCAGCATTGCATTTCTTATACCCACAGGAGAGAGTCTTGCTGATTTTCTTAGAAACTTTGCTGTTTCTTTCTTGCATCCGAAGAATGACAGCTTCAGTTTCATCATTTTTTACTCCAGAGGTAGTTTAGGCTCATTTTTATCTAGGACCAACTTGTTCATTTTTCTGGCAGTCCAGGATATCCACAAAACCCTCCTCTTGCACCACATTTCAAACAAATCAGTTATTTTTTTTTCTGTCAGCTTTCTTAACTGTTCAGCTTTCACACCCATACATTGTGTTCAAGAATACAAGACTATTCTTGGCCTTGGTCACACATCCTTACACTTGACCTTTTCTAACCTCTTCATTGCTACCTTTCTGAGTCTCAGTTTTCTTCTGATTTCTTGGCTGCAGTCTCCATTTGGATTGATGACAGAAGAACCAAGGCCTCCAAAATCTCCATCACATGTTTGGTCTTCCTCTTTTCCATACATTGTGTTCAAGAATACAAGACTATTCTTGGCCTTGGTCACACATCCTTACACTTGACCTTTTCTAACCTCTTCATTGCTACCTTTCTGAGTCTCAGTTTTCTTCTGATTTCTTGGCTGCAGTCTCCATTTGGATTGATGACAGAAGAACCAAGGCCTCCAAAATCTCCATCACATGTTTGGTCTTCCTCTTTTCCTACTGTCTTCCAAGGCCTACAAAATCTCCATCACATGTTTGGTCTTCCGCTTTTCCTACTGTCTTCAATTTTCCCCAGAATTATTGCATTTTCTGGTGAATCTTGTCTTCTCATGATGTGCCCAAAATATGAGAGCCTCGGGGTTTACCATTTGTGCCTCCAGTTCAGGCTTGATTTGACCAAAGACCCACTTGTTTGACTTTCTGGCAGTCCAGGGTTCTCGCAGTCTCCTCCAGCACCATATTTCAAACAAATCAAATTTCTCCCAATCAGCTTTTTTTAAACTGTCCAGCTTTATACAAAGCAATTAGGAATTCAACAGTGTGGATAATTTTGTTCTTTGTCTCCTTATACTTGATTATCTTTCTCATCCTTTCATTGCTGCCCTTCTGAATCTCAGTCTTCTAATTTCTTGGCTGCAGTCTCTCTTTGGATTGATGACTGAACCAAGTTATATCAAATCCATAACTATTTCAGTTTCTTCATTGTTGACATTAAAATCGAATGGTTCTTCTGTAGTCATGATTTTGGTCTTCTTGGTGTTCAGCTGCAGTTTTGCTTTGGCACTTTCTTCTATCACTTGTCCTAAAATTCGTTTCAAATCGTTGCTGCTTTCAGACAGTAAGATGATGTTATCTGCATATCTTAAATTGTTGATATTTCTTCCACAAATTTTAACTCCTCCATCTGAATACAGTCTAGCTTTCTATATATGTACTACATACAGATTGAATGGATAGGGAGAAAAATGCACCTTTGTTTGACACATTCATCTATAGGAAACCATTGCGTATCTCCATATTCTGTCCTAATGATTGCTTCTTGTCTACAATACAGGTTACTCATCAGGATAATCAAGTGCATTTTTTTCAGAATGATTCATAACTTCTCATGTTCCACACAGTCAAAGGTTTTGTGGAATCTCTAAAGATTAGACTGATCTTCGGAAATTCCATGCACTCCAACAGCTAGTGGTATTTGAGATATGATCTTGAGTGACTCTTTTTTTTCAGAATCCAGCTGGCACATCTGGCATTTCACACTGAATATAAGGTAAAAGTCTTTGTTGCAACACCTTGCTTGCATGGGAAATTAAAGCCACGGCCCTATAGTTACTGTACACTTCGGCATCTCCCTTCTTGGGAACTCGAATGCATATTGAACAGTGCCAGTCTGTAGAGCATTGTTTTGTTTTCCAAATTTGTTGGCATATTCTTAAAGTTTTGAGGGATTAAGTCCCTGGAGCTTGAAATATTTCTACTGGCATTCCAAAGTAGCCCTGGTGATTTATTTCTTCCTAGTAATTTCAGAGCAGCTTTCACTTCACCTTCTACAACTATAGGTTGTAGAAAGGTATCTATCAGGTATCTATCAAAGATGGCTGTCATCTTTATATGCCATTTGTATTGGACTTCTGTATATTGTTTCCACCTCCTCTTCATTTTCTCCTTGTCAGATAGTTTGTTTCTCTGTTATTCTTTCACCATTCCTAATCTAGCTTTAATTTCACTTTTATTTCTTGAATTTTCTGAAAGAGATCTCTTTTTCCCCCTTTTGCTGTTCTCTATTTTTTTGCACTGGTTATTTAAGATTTATTTTTGTCTCTGCATGGAAGTTGCTGAAAAACTGCATTCAGGGCTCTGATAAAATTTCTGTCACCTCTTACTTTTGCTTCTCACTGTCATCCATCAAGCTTTTTCTTTTCTTTTTACTATAGGAATTGTCTTTTTGCATTTTCCCCTAATAATATATCTGGTTTCCATCCACAGTTCTTCCGATTCACAGTCAATTAGTTCAGTAATGCAAATCTATTCTTTATGTGGACTTTAAATTAATCAGGACTGTTGTTTAAATTATATTTTGGCATGATGGTTCTTTTAGTGTTCTTTTTCAGCTTTACTCTAATGCTGGATATTGCAATTCATGATTAGAGATAGGCATGAACCACTATTTTGACAGTTTGTGCTGGTCCATCCTTTGGATAAACAGCTGTTCGGTGGTTCCCAGGCCCCTGTCCTCCAATGGATGTCCACTTGGAGGCAGTGCCCTGGCTTACCTGCCCCACCTCCTCTGGGCACTACCTCTGAGTGGGTGCCCATTGGAGGACAGGGGGCTGGGAACCACCAAACTGTTTGGTTGATAAACAAACTAGCATGATCAGTATCACAACCCACTCTTGGTCTTGTTTTGGCAGAGAGAATATAGCTTCTCCATCTCCTTCTTCCAATTACATAATCTATTTGATTTCTATATTGGCCATCTGGTGATGTCCATGTGTATAGCCATCAGTTTGGTTGCTTGAAGCATGTATTTGCAATAGACAGATATTTGGCTTCACGGAACTCTACAAGTCATTCTACTGCTACATTTCTGTCCCTTAGAACA